ATCTCACAGACTCTTCTGCCTGGGCTGGCTTTGAACCATGATCCTCAGATCTCCGCCTCCTGAGTAGCTAAAATCACAGGCGAGAGCCACTGGTGCCTGGCCTTTCTGCCTGCTTTTTATATTATAAGAATGCTCCATCATTTTATTCATAACCCTTTAAGACAACTTACTAAGCATTGTTAAAAAATAAAGTAATACAATTTCAAACTTAAGTCTACTGGCTAAAAAAATGTTCACACTATTTTAACAACAAAAAATGGTATAATTCCACCATTCTAATCTTAAGCTCACAAACCTGTCTTGGGGTGCATGATTTAATTAGTAAACCAATACAAAGTGGCCTTTTCTGACATTCACAGCCCTAGGAAAAACCAGTTTCTTTTTATCTTTTAATAACAATGCTTATGGGGTCATATAAATTGATTTTTGTAAGCCATATATTAAAAATACAACAACACGTGTACATTTAGAGGCTCAATGAAAAAGACTACTTGGGGTTTATGTGAAAGGATCTGGCATGGATTTCTTAATATATTCTGCCTTTAGTTATTAATTTTAAAGTTGGCACTCAATTAAGTGAAGCTTTTTTTCCATACCAGACAATACTTAACCAATTGTAGTCATATTAGTTCAATCCAGAAAATATCATTATATCCTATATTTCTGGAAAAAAATATGCCTCCAGAGCCTTTTTCTTCATAATTCTCGGTACGCTCCCTTTCCTCTATGCTCCAGTCAGGTTTAATTCTCAAATTAATCAGCATTTTGGAGAAATGTCCAGGTTTTCTTTTAAGTTAAATATGTTTTGGTTGCTGGGTATTTTGTACTAACTCAAAACCCCTGTGCATTGCTAATTGTTTCATGTGAACCCTATAGATATTTAGCAGCTGTTTTTTGTGGGTTTTTTTCCCAACTCACAAATTCAGTCCATTTACTTTTGAGACTTTGGTCATAAACCACACAGGGGCATGGATGTCAGATTTACTTGTAGATAGGATAATGATGGTGTCCTTGAAGTCTTCAGCCCTCATGAGGTCAGGTCACAGTGTATCTCCTCTTTTCTCCTTGTATTTGTCAGCTGGGACTGTCTTATAGACTAACTTGGACTGGGAGGATTAAGCAGAAGAAACTGATTTCTCTCATTCCAAGGTCAAAGTAGCAGTAGAGCTGAGCTGACATGTAGATAGCTACTTTTTCACATGGCTTCCATGACCTCATTCTTAGGGGTCAGAGTGGAGAATGGAGAGAAGGAACGTGAGTAAACCAATCACTGGTGTGTCTTCCTATTATTTTTTTGGAAATCCAGTCCTATCAAGCCCTACGCCATGAATTCACTTAATTTGAGGTGCCTCATTCAAGGCCTTATCTAGAAACACAGCCATACTGAGTGATCAGAGCTTTTCACATAGGAATTGCGGGGTGGGGAAGGGGGGCTCTATTTGGGAATATGTTAAATATTTCTCCTGATCTCTGCTTCCCTGCTCACTGCAAGCTCCATACTCAGAGTGCTGATCTTCATAGTCTGTCTATGGACCCCCAGGTCCCTGGCTTCTGGCTAGAAACAGGTTTAAGAGGCTAAAGGGGTGGAGTCTTAGTCTCCCTGCAGTTGGCCTGGGGCCTGTGACCAAGTCGTAAAAACACTTGGTCTCCAGCCCCAGTGCCTCCTTCTCCTGAAATCTCTTCAGACGTGGGGATGGTTAATGTGCCCACACTGTCCTTTGAGGTTTCCATGTTCATTTATAAAATAATTCCCCCAAAGTATCCATTTAAAACAGGGATAGTATCTGCTCAGAAAGGGACATTTTTCAGCCGAGCTATTGTGCATTATTTTCTCATAGAAGGTCTCTCAGCCTAGCCAGTGGACTCCTTGGGAATGTTGTTACACCTCTGTGGAGTGTTGGCTGATACAAGGTCCTTGTTTTACCCCCAAAGAACTCTGTTGTGAGAGGTAATGGCTCATCCTTTGGATACTTGTTCAATTTCTGGCTCTGATATTGAGGGCATTTCAGAGACTCATTTGCTCATATATAAAATAATGATGATACAAACTGGGATCCTGCAGAATCATGGTTGGACAGGGCTTAGCATAGAGAGAGGTTCCAGTCCTTCTGTGGCTGAAACCCATGTTGATCATCACTGCACATTTATCTCTTCAGAAGTGCCCCTGTGTTTCCTGTCTTAAGAGAGGAATTAGTGATTGGCTATCTATAAACAAAATTTGAAATCCTGTAAACTTGGTATAAAATTCAAAATACAAGTTTTAATCTTGGCAAACTAATACAACACAGTATCCCTGTAAGATAGGCTCACACACTCTGTGCTGGTGGCTCATGCCTGTCATTCTAACTACTCTGAGGATCATGGTTCCAAGCTAGCCTAGGCAGGTAAAGCTGTGGGACTCTCATCTCCAGTAAACTACTCAGAAAAAGCCAGAAGTAGTATTTAGCTTATATGGTAGAGCACTAGCCTTGAGGAAAACAAGCTCAGGGACAATGCCCAGGCCCTGACCAACCAAAATGAAAAAAAGATAGGGGCTGGGAAGGTGGCTCCATGCTTACCTTGCATGATTGAGGCCCTCAGTTCGATTCCTCAGCACTACATAAACAGAAAAAGCCAAAAGTGGCGCTGTGGCTCAAGTGGTAGAGCACTAGCCTTGAGCTGAAGAGCTGAGGGACAGCGCCCAGGCCCAGAGTTCAAGTCCCATGACCAATCATGGAAAAAAGAAAAAGGCAGGCTCATGATAATTTTTAGCATATGGACTTCTGCATGAATATACACGTTCACACACAGTCACACACACACACACACACACACACACAGAGTTAAACAGTCTCACACACACACATCTTTTTCTTAAACCAATCCTGTATCTTTTTATATCCTACCATTAACATAATAGTACTTTATGAATATTTTCTTATTGCCTATTGAAATAAAACAATTTTAGAATACTTTAATAAGAATTTAAATATGAACATACAGTCACAGATTTATACTGATAACCAAATAAGATTGTGCACTTACCAAGCTTTTTTTTTTATTGCTTTCTGGTTCTTAATTCTCTCAAACGGTGCTGGTTAAACTAGGTGCCATCATCTGCTATGTTCTGCTGCCCTGTCTAGATAAAGCCTATGTGACTATGCTTTCAGATAGCAACAGAGCCCCACAAGTGTCCGCAAGAGGAAGCATACTGCTGAGGGAATCAGAGTATCGCTGTTCTCGAGCTATGTTGTTCTCTGAGGTCTGGATATAAGGCACACAATGAGAGCTCACACCAAGGTGAGACTGTAACCTGAGGTTACATACCTACTGACTTAGGAGAGGGAAGCCTGGGGAGCCCAGCTTACCTGTCATCTAGCAACAACAGCAACTAGAAGCTCATCTGTCTGTCTCTGTCTCTTTCTCTATGACTTCTCCTATTCTTTTATGGTCATATTGCATTCTTCCAAGAAATCCTTGTTCATTTTAGTCAAATCATGTACTAACTATTCAATCTCTAAGGATGCAAGTTCAGGAAGAGTCTAATCCTGGATACTATAGGGGTTTTGTTACCTGCTCTTTTTCTTTAGCTCTTCTTCTAGAAGGTCCAAGACAACATTTCAAACACTTCCTCCCATCGAGGAAGAAAGAGTCTCAGCTATACCAGCAGTATGACTTTGCGTCTCACATTCTAACTAGAAAATATTGGGCTTAGTCTAGATGTTCTCCAATGTGCCTTCTAGCTTCAAAATAAACAAATTCTTAGGCATGAATCTACAAATGCTCTTCATTTTGGCTTATTTCTACATTCTCTCCTGAAAGTATTTTAGGCAACCAAATAAATGTTTATTGCTTCTGTGTTCTTCTTGGCTTCTATTTATTACTTAGTTGGGACTTGAAACTACCATGTGTGGGCATCAAGGATGTGACTCTATCTCTTATAAGAAAAACTGAATGAATCTGGTTGAAGAAAGTAATTTACAGTAGATAAATTACAGTAGATAATACCCCACTCCTAAGTTTTGTAATGAGCATTCACTTATTAAAGACCTTATGAAGTTTTGCAGTAAAGAATTTTTTTAACATGTATGTTCCCAAGCCTACATGATCTTGGGGTTCTGTTTTTTTATAGTTGAGTCATCAACAGCCCTTAGTCACTGGGGTTTGTACAATGCATGGGAGAGACATAGTCTCTGTGTGTATTTCCATAGAACCTGCTCCTATGGCTTATTGACAGGAGGATTCAGCATAGATATATAACATACACCTCAGATGTGAACTTGGAGTGATAAAAACCCATACTTTATGGTAGATTTAAAATAGCATTTTATGATGCTGAAGATTACAACTAATAACATTCCAACTCTAGGGTTTAGCTGCCTGGATTCAAATTTTTCCTCCTCCAGAACAACTGTATCACCTTAAGAACATGAGGTAAGCCAGGTTATGATGGCTCACACCTGTATTTCTACATACTCAGGAGGCTGAGTTCTGAGGATTGCAGTTTGAAGCCAGCCCAGGAAGGAAAGTTCAAGAGATTCTTATCTCCAGTTAACCACGAGCAAACTGGAAATGTCACTATGGCTCAAAGTGGTAGAGTGAAACGCTCAGGGACAGCGCTTAGGCCTTGAGTTCAAGCCCCGTGACTGACCAAAAAGAAAAAGAAAAAGAAAGGAACATGGGTAAACTTCAGTACCTCAATTGCACATTTGCACAATGGGGCCAAAATTGTACTAATCTCACGGAGAAGTTGGGAGAATTCAATCCACTTCATATAAAGTGTTTTAATTGTGCCCAGTTCGTAAATACCAATCATTGCTGTACTCTTTGCTGCTTTTGAGTCCTATTTTAGTTTACTGAAGCAGCTTCTATTTGTCCTCACAAAAAGCAGCTTAAATCTAGCATTCCCATCCTGTAGATGGAAATCATTAACAGCCCTTGTCCTGCTGTTTCCAATCGAGACTTTATCTAGAGCCACTGTCTTTCCACACCATGATTTAGCCTTCTCTCTTTGTGAACAGGGGCGGAGAGGCCTTGGCTCGGTGTTTGTCTGGGCGTCTGGCAATGGTGGGAGGAGCAAAGACCACTGCTCCTGTGACGGCTACACCAACAGCATCTATACCATCTCCATCAGCAGCACAGCAGAAAGCGGAAAGAAACCTTGGTACCTAGAAGAATGCTCATCTACGCTGGCCACAACCTATAGCAGTGGAGAGTCCTATGATAAGAAAATAGTAGGTGACATTTGCATGCCTCTTATTGTTTGTTTACTATTTAAAGGAAAAGTCATAAATACCTGTGTAGAAGTAACACATGGAAATTGCATATCAGACTAGCTGATGAGACAGTCGCTGTAGACCGAACCATTCTGTTGCTGGTACATTGAATGTATTTGTCTGGGTCTTTGCATTCCAGTGTCTAATGTAACCTTAGACATGATAAAGTTTCAGTCTCATTTTAGAGAAATGACTGGTCCACATATACACTGTAATAGAGATAGAGAAAAGACTAGAATGACTGGCAACCCAAGGCTCCTGTTACTGACTTTTAACTTCTGTTTCCATGGTTTACTTTTAAGTGCAGCTAATTTGGTGTGATGTTGGAGAATCATAATTGCATTTAAAGTAGACAGCTGTCCCCCTGTTCCACATCGCTAGATGGGAAATTATGTGGGAAAAGATTGGTTTGACTTGCTATTATCCCCTAAATATTGTGAGATTACAACTGTGCGTATAGCATTTGCATTGTTTTCTGCATTATAAGCAGTCGAGAGATGACTTGCAGTATAAGGAAGTATGTGCATAGGCTATGTGCCAATCAAGAGCATTGTAATTTTATTAAGCATTTGACTAACTTCAGAGTTTGGTATTCATAAGAACTCTGCAACCAATCTTTCCCAGATAACAATGGACCTTACTTAACTTGAACTAAGCTCGTAACAAAGTGTTTTTCTAAAACCACAGCCCCAAGTCTGCCCAATAGAAAATTACATGGAGTCTCCTGTTTTCCCACACATCTTGTTCACTAGCCTAATAGACAAAGGTTTAACAGGTTTCTAGGATAGCTTCCATGAGTTTCTCACACTCTCACGCTGTTCACTAGCTGGGTAACTTTGAAAAAAATGCCCTCATCTTCCTGATGAATGGGAATTTCACAATATGTAGTTCATGGAGGTATTGCACAGATATTGAGAAAGTCAATATAAAGTACAGAGCAAAGCACTTGCCTTTTACACATAGGGAACTTGAATACCCAGCATTTTGCTACTCATTCTGCATTTCAAACATCTTTGATCTTTTCCTGGTCATGGTTTTGTAAATGGTAGAATTTATCTTTCTAAAGTGCAGCTGAGCTGCTAGACCTTATACTTCTTAGCTTTCCCCAGCTGCTGCTTTACAGCGGGCAGAACTGGACAGCTGTGGTTCACCCCGACAGACGGGTATTTCGCTTTTCCAGTGAGGCTGATACAGAGCATTGGATACCGAAGGTTGAGAATTCTAACCCCAAACTGAAATTGTCCCAACATTCAGAACCTTTTGAGCACTGACAAGACATATACCAGAATACCACACCTTGAAAAATGTATAAAATTGACTAAAAAGTGTATAAATATAACTTCTAGTCAATGTGTAAAGTGATATATATGAAGCATGGATGAATTTTATGTTTGGACGTAATCCTCATCCCTCTCTAATCTCATCCTGTCTGTGTAAATATTCCAAAATCTGAAAATAGATCTACAATCCAAACAAACATCTATAATCCAGGACAAACTTCCAGATATGTTCATCTCTACATTTTCTCCTCCATCTAATCTGCTCTCTCTCTCTCTCTCTGTCTCTGTCTCTCTGTCTCTCTCTCTGTCTCTCTCTCTTTCTCTCTCTGTCTCTCTCTCTCTGTCTCTCTGTCTCTCTGTCTCTCTAATCTTCAGTCAACTTTGTGAACAGCTAGGATTACAAGCGTGAGCCACAGTTCCTGGCATGAAATTCTCTTTTTATATCTGAATTTCCAAGTTACCCCTGTAAGAGAAGAAATTTGAAAGCTATTTCCTCTTTAGCTTCAGACTGACTACCTAATCCTAGGTGGCCCTTAGAGAGTCTGGGATTCTGCATCTGTAAAATGAAGCTAATGTCTTGCACCAACCTCAGAGATTGCCACAAGAGTAGTGAAACATGCTGTATAAAGACACTGTGTATATCTAGGGCCCAGCACAGTTCCGTGAATGGTGTCTCCATTCTAACCTGAGTTGCAGGAGCCCTCAGCCTCCTGGGAAAGTAAGAGGTCATTTCTCCAGCCATTGTGAACAGAAGCACTGGTTACACCCTTTTCCCAATCTATTAAATGGCTGTGATCACTTCCACTCACACCATAAAGAGAGGCCCTTTGATCGTGAACATGTTAACAGCTTGAACATGAGTGGAGTTGGCAGCGGCCTCAGCCTTTTACGGTCCAGCTGACCCCCCTTTCCATGTAGACGTCAAGATGATGAATATGCCTGGGTTGCGCCTGGGACCTTGCTTCTACCAGGCTTTGAACCGGGATGCCTGTGGTCCCGGGTGATGCTCGCATCCTGTTAGTGGCATCTGTGATTGAGTGCTACAGGAATGGCCGTGTCTTCCTTTGTATTGGTGTCTCCCTTCCCCAAGCCATCCACTTCCTTTTGTCGTTTGCAGCCCCTGCAGAACAGCACAGTTGCCATTCTTCATTTCTAGAGCACCTTTGTGTTTTGAACCGAGACAGTGAGTGAGCATCTGAGGAGAGCAGAAAGGGTTCCTCTCTGCTTCTGGGAAAGCATTTTCGGTAAATAAATTTCACTTGTCCTGGACATTTTCATGCTCACATGAAGGAAAACCTTGCCACTGGTTTCCAAACACAGCAAAGTTTCCACCTCTGTGTGTCGTGTCTTCACTATGAGTACAGCTGTGGATGTCCATTTACCTTGTGCATTATAGAGTTAGAGTGGCTTCAAGGGCTCATTTAACAAATGAAGCAGCCAAAATATGTAGATGATCAAGGGAAGAAGTTCTTTTCTATGCGATGTAGAAATCACCTGCAATGACTACTTTTTATCTTTTCCCCTTTTTGCTAGCATTTATTATGTATAAAACAGGGTTTCAGTGTGATATTTCTAAATATGTGAACAGTGTCCCCAGTCAAACTCATTTCCTCTATTAGTCCTCTCTCGTCCCCTCTTCTCTCTTATTGGGCCAATTTCAACAGCTTTCTTTGTTTTATTTTCTTTCACTCTCTGCCCATACCTTCCCTTTTTGCCTTTCCACTATGCACAAAATGAACCTGTTTTCATTCCTGTTGTTGGATTTTAAGGAATATTTTACTTGCTCTGTCTAGCTGACTTCACTTAATTAACAAGATCATCTTTAGTTTCATCCATCTTCTTGCAAATGACACCATTTTTGTTTTTCTTTGTGACCAAATAACACTCTCTTGCATAAATAAATCATCTTTTCTTTACCCATTCAATGGCTGATAAGCACTTATGCTGATTCCTTATTTGGCTGTTGTGAATTTTGCTGCTGTAAACATGTGCATTCAGGTATCTTCACTATGTTTTTTTGGTCACATGACCTTCCCTCCCTCCCCCCCCCTCACTACCATATGCTATTGCTTATTTCTGTAATGATCACCATTCTGACTGGGAAGAGGGGTTGTTTTTATATACATTTTCTTTATGGCTAAGGATATTGAGCATTTCTCATGATGCTTCCTGAAAAGAGGGGAAACAAAGCTTGAAAGGTTAAACCACAAACACCACACACACAAATATAGACCTACACATACACACACACATGCACACACACAAATATACACATACACATACACACACATGCACACAAATGTACACACACACATGCACACACACAAATATACACATACACACATGCACACACACAAATGTACATACACACATGCACACACACAAATATACACATACACACACATGCACACACACACACACACACATGCACACACACCTGCCAGTAATTATAATTAGTAGTGTCTGGATTCCAATCCATCAGGAAAGACCGCTTGCCGTCTTTAATGACAGTGCCCTCATGACCCCAATACTTTACAGGAACATCTACTGTGGACTGTATAAAAGAAGGATGTTTTGCTTACTCGTTTTGTGTTCTTTTCAGTTATTACAACTAGTTTAGAATAAAGGAATGTCCATTATGTTTTTGAAAAAAGGCATCTTCTCTTTTTTAATTCCATGGCTTTACCCCTTGTTGTGACTCCTTCAGCCAAACTTGTTTCTTTCTCAAAAATGTTTTATTGTTATTATAAAGGTGATATATCTGTATATCACCTTTACAGTTACATAAGTGAGATAAAGAACAATGTCACTCCTTTCTTGCCTAATTTTTTAAATATATGCATATATTTTTTGTTATGAAGGTGATGTACAGAGGGGTTATGGTTATGTAAGTTAGGTAATGAGTGCATTTCTTTTTTCTTGTTCTTCCTCTTCCTCCTCCCCTCCTCCTCCCCCCTCCCCCTCTTCCTCCTCCTTTTCTCCTCCTCCTCCTCCTCCTCCTCCTCCTCCTCCTCCTTCTTTTTCCTCTT